AGTTTATCTAAATTCCCGGATTGAATATAATATAGTAAGCTAATTTTGTAAATATAGTGTACATTCTATGCAGAGTTTGAAATGATTGTGTGAAATGATTAGTGTGGTATGATCTAAGGACCACAGAATGAAAAACATGCAGATGTATAATTAATATGTATTATTTTATACATAGTATTTTTTTAAAATCATTTATCAACGCTTGTTGACAAAACTGGGCATCAGCATGTAGTAACAGCATATAATAATAATAATAATAATTCTTTATAATATAAGCTATACTATATGCTATATTCTATATTGCCCAGTCATTATTAAATAATGAAATAATACAACAATGCAATATTTTGAATATACAATACTTTTACTGTACAATTACTATACAATATTACTATATCCTATATGCCCAGTTTTATCAGTTTTTGTCATATATTACATTATGATATAATATAACAATATAATATTTTTGGATATATTTACTATATAACAACAACAACAACAACAATAACAATAATAAATTATTATTATTATTATACAATATGCTATATTAATATTTCCTATATTGGACAGTTTTGTCAGGTTTTTTTAGTCAAATATTACATTATAAAATAATATAATTTTTGCATTAGTAGTAGTAGCATTATTATTGCTAATATTGGTCACACTTCTCACTATGAACCATGGGCGACGCTAGGGAGGGGCTAGCAGGTGCTTCAGCACCCCCAAGAAAGTCAAAAGCACCCCCATAGCACCCCCACAGATTTTTTCCTGGAATCAATTATTTACATGCTGTAGCCTATTGTATTTAATAATTAAGATGATAATAAAAAAAGAAACAAACAAACAAAAAAAAAACATTTGACTCCTTAGACATGCATAACTCGTGCAATGCAATAATCACGTGATTTGCAGCTGTCACACTTTTAGTAATGTCATTATAGCATTTTATTTTAAAAATGGAGCGCTTCCTTGTGCTAAGTAGGCCTGCCCCCGACTAAAGATTTTTCTAGTCAACTAGTTGCACGTTATATTAAATTAATTAATATAATAATATATTAACCATCCTTTAATATATAGGCAGGCGCAGGCTATGATGCTATAGCCTATTCCGCGCTCAAGCTCGCGCATAAAGCAATTGCCTCAAAGCACGGGCAAAGTGATTATGAACGTGTCGGGGGAAAAGAAGACATTTTAATTAGGGATGTTCATTTTAACCAGTTAACCGTTAACCGACCTTATAGAATTTTGACCGATTAATACAATCAGTTAAACAGTTTAAAAAGTCTTTTTTTTTTCCCAGTAATTTATCAAAATATTTTAAAAGATTTGCTGCATGTTTAAAATACGCTACGCATATTAAAAAAAATTGTTTTTTTAGAGAAACATAAGTCGCATTTTATTATTTCATTCAGAAATAGGCCTAATGCCGACGCGAAATGTTTACAAACATTATAATAAACACTGTAAACACAGCTAGGCTATTTTAGTTCCCCCTCACTCCACAAAAAAAGCCTTTCAATTAACAGTATTTAGAAAAGAACAAGAATTAAAAATATACGAAGCTAGCAATATAAACGACAAGCCAAAACAAATTCATTTAGGCTAAAACTAAACTGAAACCAACGTTGGGTCTCTCATTCGACACAAAATCAAATGTTTCCGTATTCGTGATGTATTTGAATGGCAAATTATTATTTATTATGTAGATTTTACTACATATTTAAACTGAGCAGTGTGTTTTTTTCCCCATATGTTTGACTGACTGTATTTTATTAGGCTAATAATGAACAGGTGTCAGACTCTGTTCCATGTTTTGTGTGTGTCCTGCTCCCCATGTGCCTTCCCATGCCCTTATTTGGTTAGTTTCCTGTTCCTGTCCTGATTAGTTTAGTTCATTTGTCCCAGGTGTTTCCCTTGATGTTTCATTGCTCCCAGGTGTGTCTCGTCATCCACTCCTCCTGTGTGTATTTAAAGTGTTCCCAGTCCTTAGTTCTCGGTCCGCTGTTGAACGTCTTCCTGTGTTCGTCTCCCTTGGTTCCTTGGTGCAAATAAAGTCTTGTCAACATATACTCCTCGTCCCTCGTGTGTGTGTGTGCAACGTGACAGCAGTATAGTGGGTCCCCAGAAGCAGGGATGAATATAGGATCCAATTAACAAATGTTAACAAAGATATAAATACTGTAACAAATGCGTATAGGCCTATTTATTCGTTATATATATATATATATATAGCCTAGCTCCTATGTTTTTCTGCTCGTTTTTCTCCGCTCGCAGAAGCGCTGCAGGTGCGTGACCATGTGAATCCTCATGTTCTGTTGTTTTGCTGCTTTTTGCGCATGTAAAATGAATCCCCGGGAAACAAATGTTAGTATTTTTAACGGGTCACAGACACTATCCTTTCTAATTTAATTCAATTCTAATTTAAAATCATCTTGTCGGTTAAAGGTTAATAATCGGTTAACCAGCGTCGATTGTCGGTTAGGAAAAATAACCGAAATGAACATCCCTAATTTTAATTATTTATTTATTAAACTAGTGCTTTCTGAGTCAGTGTAGGGTGCAAAGATGAAGTTGCCGAATGCCGATGCTGACTCGCCATCTCCACATAGACGTGCTTTTAATAGAAATGCACCTTTTCATATGGAATACAAAATTTAAAAATACTACAAAATCGAGTGGGTGAGTTTTCCTTATATTTATTATTCATATAAAAAAATAATAATAACCTGTTTTGCTTATATTTACTATTAATTGCAGGACTTCAGACTGCGAACGAATGGTCGCATTTTGCGACCATTTATTCTGCCTGTGTGACTAAATTTTGTGAGCGGTCGCACTGGCGTTCAACTCATAAGCTTTGCCATTTCTGTTGCATATGAGAAACATCAAACTGCAACTCGTTTGAACTGCGCAGCGCTTCGAGTGTAGAGCATGGTTTATACTCGCCGCGACTGCAGGAGCTCGAAGGTGCGCGCAGCAAAAATGAAAAAAAAAAAAAACATGTTGCGACCTACTGAGAAAGTCAGTCGCAAAAGAGCGACCAGTGGGAAGAATGAGTCTGGAGCCCTGAATTGCCCAGCTCCACCTGTCAATGATCCAGCACCCCCTCAGCACCTGCGTTCATAATTCGCTGGCGCCGCCCCTGCTATGAACTAACTATTAACTATTACTTTTGCCTCAATAAACTCTTAATTTGCTGTTTATTCATAGTTAGTAAGGTAGCTGTTAAGTTTAGGTATGGGGTAGGATTAAGGGATCTAAAATATGTTCATAGAGAATTAATATTTGCTTTATAAGTACTAATAAACAGCCAATATGCTAGTAATATGCATGCTAATAAACAACTAGTTAAGAGTGAGAATTAGTCCTTAAAATAAAGTGTTACCCTAATGTTTATCATATGACATGAAGTAATCAGGTGGTTGCTAATAAAATACTGTCCTCATATTATCCTCCATTGCTGTGCGGTTAGGAGACTTAACTGCTAGTGTCTCTTTCATTCTGCTCTTATTGTTTAATTTTTGTCATTTTGCAAACATATATTGAGGAAAGCATCAAAGATATTTGGGGACCTTCAGATAAACATTCAGCGGCAGACCATGTTTAGAGGGCATTGTTTGCCAGTAAAATGCAATTTCCAACTGAGCTCTGCCGGCAAGACAGGCAATTACGCGTTAAAACTGACAAGCAAGAACACATATGGCAATTTTCGTCCTACAGTCGAAAAGTGTGCTCTCTCACTGATTGTTTGCTGAAATATGCTATTTTTCCACTCCAACTGAATAAGCCCAATTAGACCACCATTAAAAGCCCCCTTCATCTAAACCTCTGCACTCTTTAATTTTACCTCACTACAGATAAGTTGCATTCTTTCATTCTAACTTTTCCCTTCCATTTCCAAGAGCTCCTCAACCTGACTCGCTTCAACTAACTACCTGTAACTGCCCTCTGTGCCTGGAGGGCAATGGAATGAACGGTTATCCTGACTGGCTAGAGCTTCACCCCTTAGGATACGGATGACATAATCATAGCCATTATTCAATTCAATACAACAGGTGTTACTGGCTGAATCTTTATCGAGCTTCTACAAGCACTGAACGTCAATGTGCATTCAGAACCACAAAAACATGTTCCTCAAATCATTTTTCATAAAATGTCTATAAATAATATTCTTCCAGCGAGTCCAGGCTGTAACTCCTAATCAAGACTAATCAAGAGGACTAATCTACAGTTGATGCATGCTGTACCTTTCAAGTACAGTGTACAAAATAAGCCTGAAAGACTTCTTTTTTTTTTCCCTTTTGAGACAAATGGTCTGTGAATGGAGGTGCTCAACCTTCAGAAAATGTTCATATTCAACATCTAGAGGTCAAACTAAATAATGCATGAGATATTTC